TGGATGGAACTGGTTCAGTCTTGTTGAACGGCTGTTTTGTTCACTGTGAGATCCGCTCTTGTCTCGTCATATCGTGTCTGGACAGCTTCAAAAATATACGGTCTCATTCGCCTCTCTCCGTTGTTTGTTGGTGATCCGTTAGGATCAACTCAAAAACCACTGCAAATAGAATAGCTGGTCATACGAATTCAGCCTCATTCATTCCTTGTTCACAAGACAAATGATTAAAACCTTCAGAGGCGCTCCTCATTGTTCTTCACACGTTTGGTCGTTTAATAACTAAACAACAAACAGGAGAAAATGCTTTCCATAAATACTCAAATGAAGCGGACTGTTCATCGAGAATCCAGTGCGTTATGGTCAGTATTGACCACACCTTATTTCATTACACACCACTGACCGCTCCTCATTCCATTTGGCCCCTGACACAACCAACTCATGCTATCCAAACGTTGTGTGTGTATGTGAGTGAGTGAGTGAGTGAGCGATTAATCTTGTCTCCCGTAAGCAGATCAAATTCTTTCTCTCTCGCCCAGGACTATACTTCTCTCGTACTAGTAAGTGGTAGACAGCTTCGTTGTCGTCCACTGGAGTTCGATGGACGGGCACCGCTGAGCTGTCCCGCGGCTAAGCAGTAGAGTGGTAACGGTTCACAATCAAAGCCTTCAGTTCTGCCGTCTGACTCCGTATCCTAAGGGTGCATTTTATGGTCAGCTACTTGAGATCCTAGGACTTAGGTTACCAGTTCCCTGAATCGAACTCAAAGTCTTCGCGGCTATTGGATGCTCTCTCTCTCTTCTGCTTAGTCAAGTTGTGCACAGACAAAGGTTTCAGGATATTTCACTCCAAAAATTATTTCCTACTGTTCGTTCCATATCTCGGGTTTATCCGCTTTCCGAAACCTAAACCCTATTGAACCCAACCCGAGATTATGTCAAAAAGAAACAGCAACCGGTAAGCTCTACAAGACCCTATAACATTCCATAGAAAGATCAAGCCTTATGGTGCCAACAAAGCCGACCTATCAAATACCGGTAAGACTAATTATCTTTAATGAGTTACAACCAATTGGATGCGGTTTTTATTCGTTTTGAACCACAATGAACTTCCAACGGTCGTGTCTCCCTTGTCCACACGATTCAAAATCACTCGCTCATGGTACAAGTCATCTGAACTGCATTTCGTGTTCTGGAAAAGAGTGATTCTGTCCAAATCAAAGTGCAACGGGTTGAATGCTAAATGTTCATTGGTCCCAGTTATATATGTATTGGTAGCTGGGTAGTTTAAGCCGTTATCAATCGATTGTACCAGATTTGGTATCCAAGTTCGAATCCTGACACTGCCACCTAACTTTGATCTAAGTTTTTACGGCTCCCAATTCGTTCGGCACCATTTCGCAGCCACACTTTTAGGGGTCTCGCCAGACTGTCACAATCACTTTGGTAAGTATTTCATTGCCCTCCAGAAGTGCGCTAGGTAGATGGACAGTTTTGTTTTGGTACTATCACTCCCGGTTTTGAGAAGGGGAAATAGCACTTACTGTTCCAGCTGTGCGTTGTCTAGCGAAATCGTTCGCTAACGAACGGATGTGGCTCTGGACTTCATTATGCCACCCAGGATCATAGTTAACATCTTTTTTCTACGAGTAAAGTGGACCTAATTCTATTCAGTCGAATACATACTGCGTTTTCTGTTTTCCCTTGTGCTTCTGTTAATTCCTCCCCCCGTTTTTTTAGCTCCAAATGATTCCGGTGATACGAGTGGTTCTTACTCCAGTCGTACTAATCGAATTCAAGCGGTTGACAAAAGGCAGCGCAATTTCGTAAGCCCGATTTTTTTCGCTCATTTGTTGCATTAGTTCATTTTAAGCCGACATGATCGAAGACATGCTACGAGAGGAAATCCTTTGGCATCCTCTCCTCGATCGCAAACTTACAAAATCCAGACTGTAAATGACATCAGAGAAATTGACAATTACAGTGAAATTAGTTCAAAAGATGACTGAAGACGATTGGTCAAAACCTGGGCAGATTTAGAGATATGTCAAGCATTTATGTACTCATAGGATTGGATTAAGTTGGGCTATCTGTGA